AGACTGAGTTTCAAGATCAGATGTGTCTTAACAAGTATGAGTATAAACCCCTTCTTAGGCAAATTAACAGGCTCCCCAATAGGTATGTGCCCACATTATCCACTACGTATGTACCCAATGATCTGCTTCCCATCTCCTCCCCTGGGAAATTCAGATTCACAAAAGTACTATGAGCAGAGGTTCCTTCATTCCAATTTTTTTATTGCAATAAAATTCATTTAGTGATTCTTGCCCATGAAGTTTGTTTAGCTAGAGAAGAAAAATTCAAAAATAGAGCAAAGATATCAAAGGTTTTTCTTTCTTTTTTTAAACTAGGTTTATTAAATTATCTCAAGTTTTCTACTCAAATTATGCTCTTCTCTCACAAAAAGATGTATGTTTTGGTAATAGATTTTCACTGTCAGTCATTTTGATGGGAAAAAGTATGCTTTGCCAGAATTTTCTCGTTTCTGAATTTTTTCAGCTTTTCTAAGTAAGAGGATACAAATTGATGACCATTTCTGAAAAATATGCCTTAAAAACTAAGCATTCAAGAAATTAAATTAACATATCTCTTTTATGATGAAAAATGTGCTAACTCAACCATATCAGAAAACTTAATATTTTGACATTAATAATAATAAATGCTAACGGTATATACAACTAGTAAAATAACTTTTTCGCTAAAAAAAAATATATCTATTATCTATACTATACTAGTAATAAAGTTTTTTTTTTTTAAATCAACCAAACTCAATTCATTTGAAGTTACTTTTGAAGAAAAGCAACATGCAAGGCATACTTCATGCTTCATTTTGAAACAACATATATTAAAAAGCTACAAAACACTTAGGAATGCACCTTAAATTTATATTCATTTAACTACTCACTAAAAATAATTAAAATCTCATCTCAAGTTTTGATTTGTGGCTAAGAAATTCATTATTTTATGCACAGGAAGGAAAAGAAGTATTTATCATCAAAATGTCTCTGAGCTCCTCTTTGATACTGCAGCATGTTTTTTTTCAGTTTTGCCATTTGTTACCAACTTTTCCCCATTTTAATTTGCTTTAAGTCAGCAGTTGCTTGTAGGGAACTGTCAAATCTTTTAGAGTTACGCTTTAAATCATTACTGAAAGATTTGCTTTTAGTATAATAGGACAGCTATGCATATTAATTAGATCATCAGACATGTTTGCTGAGGGTTAGCAATCGTGTAATAAATACAGTATGGCAGTGATAGAGTTGTAAACCTCAGCACATAGATTTCTAATACATTTTATTGAGTTACCCAAGAAATAATCACCCTGCTAAATCCAAGTTAAACACCTGATCGAATATTAGGATGTTTAATTAAAAATGAAGTTATGTTGTACATGTGGGTGATTTTATATAGTGACTAAAAAAGAAGTCTATGAAAAAATTAATTTTGCTTGATAAGAAGCATACACACAGCCCTTTGTGAAGGTGGTACATGAAGCATTCCTAAAATACACATGCAACTAAGATACAAATGATGAAGAAGCAGACTAAATAAATGAGGGGGCGTGGCCCAAGACAGACCTCAACTAAAGTAACAAGGTTGGTCAATATCATGCACGTTAAGATTGTCTTTTGAAAAACAAGTAAATCCTATTACTTCATCCTCAGTGAATGCTCAGTAGATGGCCACTGGGATTGCAAATCAGTTTCCTCCCTAAGTTATCAGGCAGCATCCAGCTCTAGCAAGCCAAATTTAGGCCATCCCTATGCTTGGAAAATTTGACAATCCAGGTGTTGTCACCACTTTCACTGTTAAAGACAACAGGATTATTTGGCAATTGGGGCAGAAGAAAAAGCACAGACTTGATGACGGATGAGAGTATGATGAATTCCTGAGCAGGTAGAAAAAAAAAAGGAAAGCAGAAAGAAACGAAGAAAGGGAAGCATGGAAGGAGGAAGGAAGGAAGAAGGGAAAGAGGAAGGAAGGAAAAGAGAAATGCTAGACAGGAACTCAGAAGACCTGAATTCAAGAATGCAGATCTGGATCTACAATGAAACACCTAAGTTACTTTTCTCTGAGCCTTAATTACTTCATCTGCCATATGAGGCAGATATGAGGACCAGATAGCCCTAAAGGCCTCTTTAAACTAACATACAAAAAAGTCCAGTAAATACAGAAACAACTATGCCATCCTTTTCCTCGTCGTTTGATTGATCATTCATTTATGCATTTATTTATTCACTGAATATTTATGGAATACCTACCTACTAAGGTGCAGACCTTATACTGTAGACACAAAAGAGAATGAGATACACCCTGTGCTCTCATGATGCTCAATGCCTGGGGTAGTAATGAGGTAAGAAGACAGAAGGACAAGAGGGTAAAGCTGGGTGGATAAGCACGAAGCCTAATCTTGAAGTGTAACTGAGAATCCCAGTTTTTGAAAACTCCTTTTTTGTAGTTAACTTCACGATGCAAATTGTAGGAATATTTAAGGATTTTTTTTCTTTCTTTTCCTATTTGTGCTCCACTCTCACAATAATCCTGCAATTATGATTAAACACATATCCATAGCTCTAATTGTGGACTTGCTCAAGAAACTTCAGAAGCTAATCTTGGAACAAGCTGGGCTTAGAGCCTCATTGTTCAGAAATCACCAGTGCTTGCAGACACCATGGCAAGATTCAGAAGTCACTCCCAGGAGGATAATCTATAACCTGGCCACAATTGAGATGATGTCCATACGGAGAACAATTCAGGATGGTCATCAGTGCAAAACCTGTAGCTCTATATCCTGCACTACCTACGAATACCCCTCATTCCATCTTTTCCCTATAAACTCTCCTACCCTTAGCCCAATATTTTGAAATGGTTTCTCTGAGGCATGAGCCTGGCCATTTCCCCATCTGCAAGCTTTTAGAATAAAGTCACTTTTCTTGCACTACATCTTGTGCTTGTTCATTTGAACTGCCAGCAACAAGTAACAAAGTTGTGATCTGTAACAGAAGGACCTTCTATATTATGTTTTTAAAGGTGGCATTTATCCAGACAACATTAGGGGACACCAAAGTTTGTTTCAACATCGGGTAATATGATCATATTTGTGCTCTGATATTCTATGGATAGTGGACTGGAGAAAGACAAAACTGAAAGCCCTGTACATCTGTAGCACCAGCCAGAATGCAAAGAAATAAATCCTGGTTAAAAACACAAAATCAAAAGCAAGAGGGAGCTGACTCCTCAAGGACTGGCCTAGAAAACTTGGTAGATACAGTGGCTATTCACTGAAATAAAGAACAGAAGTGAAGAATCAAGTTTTGGTAGAGGAAAGGAGGAGAATAGGACACAAGAGTCATGGTGGAGATGATGAATTGAGTTTGGGGTCTTTGGATTTAAGATCCCCCAAAGAAACATATTGAGATGCACTGGACAAAAAGCTCGGATCTGGGAGTAAAGAGACTTTTTGTATTCAGCTGCTAAGTCTGATTTTAGGAAAAAATTAATCACTCTGAATCCAATATTTTTCCATGTAAATGGAGATAATAGCTACCTTTGAAGAGGGTACAATACACTGAGAAGTTAAGTAACTTGCCTGAGGCCACATAACAAGTAAAAAGTAGATTTTGAGCCCACATGTGTTCTCAAAGCCCTTGGCTGTTACAGACAGTTACTTAAGAATCAGTCTGGGATTGTCTTCTTATAGACTAAAAGTTCAAGGATAATTAACATATTTTGTTGGGTTATTTTTAACTCCAGTCTTAAATATTACATTGCCAAAATTAATTTTATGCCATTCCAGATTTTCACAGTCTTATGACTTTTTTTTCCCTGGTAGAAGAATGATATTCAGAATTATACATGGCTACTATTCATCCCAGATTTTCTGGGACAGCTTTTATTTTCAAAATTCCACGCCATTATCCTCACACCATTGATATGTCCTGAAAATGCCAGTATTTCTGTTCTAGACTCTGCACGAGAAGCAGCACAAAATACGTTATTGAAGAAACCTAGTCACCAGAGGTGTTCAAGGATAATTCAGGAGGTCCACAGTACACCCCGATAAGTGTGGGTGTACTGGTGGAGATCATGGGACAGAAATGTATATGAGGACTGTTGTGTTAGAGGCGCCTGATTTTTATCTAGTAAATTCTATGTTAGTTAACTACCCAAAATTTTGATTTCTAACATGTTAACGAGCTCTATAGGTGATTCACATGCACAGTAAATTTGGGAAATTCCTGATTTAGGAAATGATCCACTCAAGAAAGGGTCCCAAAGATCAAAAATAGTTGCTATGTATTTTCTGTTAGAGACTTTTCAAATCAATTAGTGACTGAAGTTTTTTAAAAAACACCACTTAGAGGTACTTGTAGAAAGAGACAATCTTGTGATGTCTCTTTTTGTGAACATCCTTCTGCACAGTCAGTGTCTATTCAGTAAAATGTTCACTTCCCAAATGGAGCAGAACAGATTCTGTCTTACGCAAGTCAGTGTTTGTATTAAGCCAGATGACTCTGCAAGTGAAGTAGAATCAGAGCGTGCACTGCATCTATTGCACTGAGCTTTATGAAGACAATGTTAGATGACAACCATCAATCACCAGTGGCAGCAGCTTTCTCTAAGGGAGAATCACCAGACTCTCTGGGGCCATCTGCTGTTGGAACTGACAACCAGAAGCAACCAACACTACTACTAACATGATTTTAATTAGGACCTATACTCAAAGCTCTCTTGTAGTCTCAAGATTTGTTTTTCATCTGACAAAGCATTTTACTTAGTGGTCATAAACTATATGCAGACTATATACTGGTTTTAAATTTTAAAAAATTTTCTAGTAGTAGTATCCATCAGAAAGAATAAGTTCAGAGTGGACTTAGATAAGAGATAATTAAGGAGTAGAAAACTTTAAATATTTTCTAAAGAAATAACAGTGAGTGAATACTGGATGGGCCAGATAAGAATTTATTAAAGATTCTCAATTGTGGATTCAGGAGGGAGTGTGTCTTAGGCACTGAGTTGGCCATAAGCTTGAACTCTATGCTTTAATACGATCATAGATTCCAGTATAAATGGGCTCCAAATGAGTAAAACGAATTGTGAAGTCATGAAATCCTGGGTAATTCCACACATCCTTCTGAAAAGTTCAATATGTGTTTAGTTATAGTAGCAGCTAAACCTTTTTAGAGTGACTTTGGGGAATTGCCCAGTGAAATGCATCACTGAAACTTCCCTCCTCCTCCCTTCTGGAACTTCCTTATTAATAGCTCCATGCTTTGAAAGCCCACTTGAAACTTGAAACATTATTTTCCTCACGGATTACTTTATGCATTGGCATAAAAATTCATTTTCTAGAAGATGAAATGATATTCTTACCCGTTTCACAGCTGGGTCCAGTGAAGCCTTGTGGGCAGGCACACACATTAGCGGCAATGCAGGCTCCTCCATTCCTACAGCCATCTCTGCAAAATGCTAAAATAATTCAGATACATGATTTTAGCACTTTAGAAGTAAGCAGTTTATTAAGTTCCAAACCTAGCTTTGTGCCATGCCCTTGGAGTTGTGACTATCAAATTATAAAAACTATTATATTTTCATTTTCATATAATATTTTCTATACATGTAAAAAACTCAACACAATTTGTAAAACAGTACTCTTTTTGATGTGAAAGACATATTTCACCTGTAAAACAAAATACTGAAATTTCTTTAACAAAAAACAGTAACCCAACACAATAGGTTAAAACTCAGATTGCAGCTGGGCACGGTGGCTCACTCCTATAATCCCAGCACTTTGGAAGGTCGAGGCAAGAGGATTGCCTGAGCCCACAGGTTTGAGACCAGCCTGAGCAACTTGGCGAGACCTCATCTCTACAATAAATCAAAAAATTAGTTGGGCATGGTGGCCCGTGCCTATAATTCCAGCTACTTGGAAGGTGAGGTGGAAGGATCACCTGAGCCCAGCAGGTTGAGGCTGCAGTGACTATGAGCATGCCCCTGAACTCCAGCCTGGGCAACAGAGTGAGACTCCAACTCAAAAAAAAAACAAAAAAAAAACCAACTCAGATTTCATCTCATTGTAACAATCCAACTTGAAAATAAGCCTAAAAAATAGCAGTGATCCTATATGGAGCCAATCACCATCTAGAGACTAAGATCAGGAAATAGGAAGTGGTTGAATCTCAGTAGGCTCTGACCATTTTACATACTGGCCAAGGTGCCAAAATAGTAGAAATATACTCCATTCTTCAAATTAGCCAGTCTTGATGATGAGTTAACCAATAGTAAGAAAAAATCGCTAGAGTGATCGTCAGGGAGTGTCTTGAATTCCTCGGCTAAGAATAGGTGAGGATTCAGGATCAAGAGCAAAATCATTGCACAGCCTGTTGTATTAGAAGGGGTTTGGGAAAGTTATTCTGTAAGTAATAAAAGGAGCCAAGGTCTGAACCATTGCAAGGATGATCTTTTGAGATATGCTGCCTTCAAAAAAGCACAGAAAAGAAGACGGCGAGAAAAATAAGATACATGAGACTGAGATCCTTTAGAAGCTTCTGTCTCCATTTCAACTCATTCTTTGGCTTTGTAAGGTTCAGGGGCTGCTTAGTCTGACAAGGTTTGTCATAAATGAATTAGACCAGCTTGTTCCTAGCATTGGGGCAAAAGGTTTTTCTCTAGTTTTCTGGCATGTGCTTCCTCTAGTTAGCTAGAATACACTTTACCAGAGTGGTAAAATATAGAAATCTAAAAGTCTGGTGCTGAGTTAAAGAAATGGGTCCAAAGAGGCCATCTGGCTTCTTTGGTTCTATATCCTAAGTCTGTCTTCATCCTAGACAAAGAAAAAAATAAACAAACAAAAAAGCTACTAAGCAAGGATTTGCAAAGGGATTTAGAATTTAAACCTCTTATACTTCATAAGTAATAGAGAATGCATCTGCCAGACCATGTATATATTTTCCTTGGAGTAATTTGCAAGGTTGCAGCCTTTTGATACAGCACAGAACTCAACGATTTGGATCTTCAGATCCTATATCTAAGCTACTTATCTCTCAGTTTTTTTCCATTCCCAGAAGAGATACACACAGGAACTAGAGAGTTTTTATTCAGAAAACCTATAGTCCTAACTTTCAGAAAGAATTTATATTTCCTTGAAAGTTTTTCTTCCTACAAATATAAGAATTATCTCTTTACTTCTGCTCATTATTTTAAGAGTTCTTTATGTTATAAATGTTTTTCATATTAAATCAAGTAGAAATAAGAAAAAGAAGCTAGGGCTCCCAGATGAAATCTTAAGCCCAAACTCTCAGAATATCAGATGCTTTGGGTGAAGTACTAAGGCTTTAGTTATATAGCAGTTCCCCCCAGTGGATGCCTGAAACTGTGGATAGTAATGAACCCTATACATGCTATGTTTTTTCCTATACATACATGACAAATTTAATTTATAAATTAGGAACAGTAAGACAACAATAACTTATAACAAAATAGAACAATAACAACATGCCAGCATCACTACTGTTGTGTTTTGAAGCCATTATTAAGTATCAATTGATCTGATAACCAAGAAGGCTACTAAGTGTCTGATGAATGGGTGGGGGTAGCATAGACCGTGGGAATATGCTGGACAAAGGAATGATTCACATCCCAGGTGGGACAGGGCAGGATGATACCAGATTTCATCACACTACTCAGAATGGTGCACTATTTAAAACTTATGAATTGTTTATTTCTGGAATTTTCCATTGAATATTTTTGGACTGCAGTTGATAATGGGTAACTAAAACCATCAAAAGTGAAACCATAGATAAGGGGAGACTACTACACTACATTGTATCCTCTGGAAGTTTGCCTTTTCTCAGAATTTGTCCAATTTTCCTAACAAATATTTGTGGAATTTGAATCCCTAAATGAGTAAGCCTTCCTTATGATGACTTACACTAAAGATTTTCATACAGTTTTCAAAGTCAGAGTAATCCTCTGGCCTGTGCATGTCTGGCTCCTATGTGTTGTTGTAGAATGGGCCTTAAGTCCCCTGCTCATGAGCCACTGCATCTACAGCTAGTCCTTGATCTTTCCTAACTCCCAAGTATACAGTATCACAGCAAATTGATCCGAATGAACTCTGAGTAAGGGACACAGTACAAATGAAGAATAGGCAGTTTTGAAGCTTGAAATGCCTAAGTTAAACAAATCATATGGCATAACAAGAAATATAATATGGGAATTAGGAGTGTTTCCAAAATAGTCCTCTATTTCCCTTGTGAAGTAGGAGGTAGGTTTATCTGATGAAGGAAAAAAAAAAAAGTAAGTTAATGGATGGCGAACTACAGTTGAATTATCCATTGCTGGAAATAGAAATCTGACCTCAATAGGACATGTAAAAGAATTATCAATTGGCATTGACAGAGCAGCTAAAATGGGAAGGGACAACACAACACAGAGACCCAATATGCACAGTTAATTAACCCTCTATAGTAGCGCCTGCAGCTCTCAAGAGAACAGAGAAGAGAAACTGTCAGACTGATCAAAAATAGATTTATTTCACAGTGGATTATGGTAGTCAAACAGTACGACTGATGAGGCTGCCAGAAAAATAGCTGTCATGATATACGCATTTGGGCTAAAAAAGAAATATCTAAAGCTTGAAAAACTGGTAAACTGAATGAAAAGAAAGATTCAAGGAAGTTGAAGATCAAGAGGAAGGAACAGACTGAGCAAACTGGAAGGAAAGGAACTTGGGACTAACAATAAAATGCTAAGTTTAAGGCTGGGCAGAGGAATCCCAGCACTTTGGAAGGCTGAGGCAGGAGGGTCACTTGAGACCAGGAGTTTGAGACCTGCCTGGGCAACATAGTAAGACTTCATCTCTACAAAAACAAAAAACAAACAAACACAAAAAAAATTGCTTGACATAGTGGCATACTCCTGTAGTCCCAGTTTGGTAGTCTAAGGGAGGAAGATCTCTTGAGCCCAAGAGGTCAGGGCTACAGTGAGCTATGACATGCTTCTGTACTCCAGCCTGGGTGACAGAGTGAGACACATCTCAAAAAAAAAAATTGTTGAAGTTCTGTACAAAAATGTCCAGAGTGTGGTTATGAGTGTGGTTTGCTAGAAAGGAATAGAGAAATAAACTATTCAGGTCAAAGGAGCTGAGCAGTTTGTTCACTTAAACACTCAAGTTACCCCAGAGGATGGCAAGTCCTGGCAGGAAGACTACGAGCCATACACACCAAAGTTCTCAAGGACTGTGGGAATTACCCAGAAGGCATAGAACAATGATGAAAAGGGGTAGAAGAAAGCAGAGATGGATTGCATTCTACATCATGGAAGAGGTACTGGCATTTAAACCTTTTACCTTTGCAAGTGGTTCCATTCCCCGTATAGCCTGGCTTGCAAACACAGTTGTGTCCACCCACAGTGTTGAAGCATAAAGCATTTTCATCGCAGTTATGCTGATTTGTGATGCACTCATCATGCTCTGAAATGAGAAATACAACTTTGTTACTCACCAATATAATTTCAAAGACACTATATTTTAAACTGCATCTGCATCTTGGTTATTGCATGGTAATTCTTTCAACCACAGATGCAACAAATTATAAATTAAGGAAGACCTCAGAGTTTAAAGTATTGTATACACCTCTTGAAGTGCATACATAGTTTACACATCCACAAATATTGAATGCAAAAGAATTTGGACAAAAACCCACCAATGTTTGGAAGGAATAGGAGAGGGGAGGCAAGTAGAGAGATTAATTCTCTGAAGCAGATTTCAACGGCAGCTATACGCAGTCTCTGTGGTTAATATTTGGGGAGTTTTTCTCGTGAAATAAATCTACTGCCTAACTCTTCCCTGTAGCATGTGAAGGATGACAGGAAAGGATGTGAAATTGTATTGCTCTAGGAGTCATGACCTGCACGACAATGGAGTTGAAGTTCTGGGAGAAGGTGCCTGTGGTTAACACTCAGATCCACACTTGTGGGCATAAAGATACTTATGCAAACTGTCGGGGGAATACTTGACCTCCTTAGTTAAGTTCTCTCACTCTGCTAAAAGAGTATCACACACCTATTAAATAAGACAAACTTGCTTTTATAATATGTTCAAATACAAACTTCAAGATGTGCAATCAATATGACATCTCCTTTAACTGCCTATAAGTTGATACTTTTGAAAGCACTGAATTATTTGATCCTCCCAGCACCCCTGTGAGAGAGGCAGAACCAGTATCATTATCACCATTTTAAGGATGAATCAGTGGTGGCTCACAGTATTTAAATAGTCTGCCCAAGTTCACAGGAATATTAGGTGGTTTCAAAATTCTAGCTCAGTGTTCAGCCAAAATGGACAAGTGAACAATAAATACAGAGAATATGAGAAAGCAAACAGATTCTACCATCAAAATCAAGACGAGTAGGAATGAAATATGTGAGGAAATACACACAAAGTAGTTCAGCCACGTATTATCCCTACTGTGGCACTACTTATTACTCAGTCTATTACATTACTATTGGGTAGGCCTAAAATTAAATACACATTTTAATAATTTACATTGATTGAGCCAACAATTTCATATGATGCAAATCATAAAAGCAAAAGAAATGCTTGCTTTTCATTTTAGAACTCTATTCAGACATTATAATGGCGATACATCTGTAACTTTGAAAAAAATTGTCTTTGGCATACACTATTGAGATTAGACTAAAATCACTTACTTTGACTGCTAAAATAGAATTTTCTGTGTTTTATTGTAAACAAATTGAAGATTAACATTTTTCTATGATATTTATACAAACACAAAGTTATGACAATTTTAATTATAGCCCTGTAATAAAATTCTTAGAGATGATTTCCAATAATCTTTCAGAGACTTCAATCAGTAAGGTTTTGAATTGCACAAATGGATATCTTATTTTACAAATTTCGGGCTGAATAACCCCCAAATTGTACAAAATCCTACCCTTATTATCTAATATCAGCACATTTTATAGTTTTTATATATTCTTGTTTATTATTGGCAGCTTAGAAAACAGCTGGATAGCACGTGGGTCTCTTAATTGGGGTTACTCTTGAACCCCCAATTTCAGAGGGGCTGGAATCTGGCAGTAGCAATCTACCTTTGCTACTGCCAGAAGCAAAATAAATCTACACTCTGAAGTTGCACCTGCTGCCAATTTTCTTCCCAGTGCAATTTAAAGTGCTGCAGTTAATCTATAAATCTCTATATGGACAGCCCTTGGCCCCTTAAAGAAGCTGCTGATTGATTTGATGCTGCTTTAATCCCTGTCTTGGTTGTCTTCTTAATTAGACCATACTCACTGGGTAGAGGAAGGGCCTAACAAAAGTCAGTTTAGCTCCTAGTATGATAACGTTCAATAAACATTAAGTAATTACACAACCTGGGACCTGGTTCCTCTGTTGTCATTTACTCACATGGTTATGGAAATAAGGAAGTGTGCTCCTAAGTAATTCAAAGGTAAAGACAGTCTTGAGGCCTTTCAAAGCATCTATGCCTTTACTCATATTGTTCTCTGTGCCTAAAGTGTCTTTCTCCTGGAAAACGCTTACTATTTTTAAAGACTGCACTAAAATGTCATAGTTTATGTGAAGATACCTCAGTTTCCCCATCCAGCAGAGTTACAGACTACTATCCATTTTCTCTAGCAGATTGTTATATAAGATTGTTATTACATTGTATTGTAATGACTTACTTCTCCCTGGTCTTCCACTTTTAAGCTCTACCTTGGCATTTTTAAACAAGGATTTTGTATTTTTCTTTGTATCTCATCTAGGCATCCAAAGAATGTTTCTTGAATAAATGACTGAATGATTGAATAAATAAGTGACGCAAGATAGGAGCTACTTCCTCTACCTCCATTCAAGCCGATCTCAATTAGTTCAGTTGTAGACAAGATGCCAAATAGAGCTATAAAAACCTGAGCTGTTTTTTACCCTGATTTCACTATGATGCTGTTATATTTAATTATGACTATTTCAAATATTACCCAAAGTAGTAGGATATATTTTGAAAGCAGAAACTATTAATTTTTTTAGACTATTACTTGAACTTTTTTTCACACTACTTAAAATAAAGTCACTTATGATTCTAATCATAATTATCAACTATAGTAAACTGTGATCTTACAAAAAGCCTTTTAAAATGACTATACTCTCACAAAATAATCAACTTTGATAGTCCTTCACAAAACACAATGTAAATGAAGCAGTGAGTAGATATTCTGTAAAGTCATCTCAATAAATAGTGCTGTTCAATATCCAGTCCTGGTCAAATGTCAATTTCTCACCCCTTCTTTGATGCACATATCCCATCAACTCACCAGCTTGCCTCTCCATTTTTACTACTTCTTCTGACATTTTCAAGATATAATAAGTAAAATTAAATAAAATAAGTAGGGAAATTCTAAGATAAAATTTAAATTAATATTATGTTCCAGGTAGGAGAGGTGGCTCATGACTATAATCTCAGTACCTTGAGAGGCCAAGGAGGGAGGAATGCTTTAGCCCAGGTGTGTGAGATAAGCCTGGGCAACATAGAGTGACCTCGTGTCAACAAAAAATACAAAAATACAAACATTAGCCAGGTGTGGTGGTGTGCACCTGCAATCCAAGCTACTTGGAGGATTGTGGTAAGAGTATTGCTTGAGCCCAGGAGGGTGAGGCTGCCGTGAACCATGAACATACCACTATACTCTAGCCAGAGCAACAGAGGGAGACCCCCAACTAAAACCAAAAAAAAAAAAAAAAAAATTATGTTCCATTGTTTGAGAAGAGCATGCGAAGATATAATTGTATATGAATTTTAAGGTTTATTTCACCTACATCAAAAGGCAGACATTCAAATCTGATGTTCAGAATATCCAGTCTGTAAGACTCAATGCTATCTTCACCTCCTCAGGAAAATGTCAATGTTCATATAATAGAATAATCCAAGCAACAGCTAGAATTGATACTAAATGCACCTCTTCCTAACTCTTCTTCATCAAAAATATTTGTACATGGATATTATAAATAGAATTTAACCATTCTTTGTGTCTATGAATTTGAAATTAATGAAATCAAAAAATGAAATAAATATACGGAAAAAATGTCATCACTCAACAGTACTAAACAGAAGTAATTTGGATGTCAATCATTACCGTATGTTACATATAGAATGTATAATTTTATGACAGCTAGAAAAGATTTTTCCTGTGTGCCATTTCTTTGCTCTACATTTCTACATAAAATATAAAGCTGATATTTTTACAAGTAACAAGGCTGAATATAGTAGAATTCCTCCAAAGGAAAAAAATATAATATATACACTTGGATGCATCTAAATACAGATGTTACATATAACAATCATACTTTGCTTTCATTGACTAACCCCTGTGTTACCCTGGGTAGGATACGGTATCTATAATTATTTTTAGACTACACATTCAACAGGGTCATCAGTTATAATAACATAAAGTTAGACTTAAGTTGAGCTTTAAATTTGGTATTCACATAGAGCCGTTTGCAGAATGAATGTACTATCTAGAGACCAAAATGGACACTTTAAAATTCACATAGCTTTCCTTACAGACATATCATACAACATAGCACATGTTCTATTCAAGAATTTCAGTATGATACAAAATGTAAATACTGTAGAAAATAGTAGTGAAAAGTCATTTAAATATATCTACATTTTTTTCAAAGTCCATTTTGTATTAGAATATTCATAGGATAAAAAGATTATGTTAAAATAATCAAAAAGTTTATAATTTACTTGTGAATATAAGAAAAAACACAAATGCCTTCAGTACATAGTTTCATTATGAGAAATGCTCAAGGAAAAACATGAACTCTACTTACAGAGGACTGCAAGAGATAAAGGGAGGAAGAAGTCATTTTTGGTTGGGTCAGGTAGGCATTTAAGAATGACTTCATGGAGAATGAAGACTTTGATGTGGATTTTTTTTTTACATGTGGTGGGGAGGTGTGGTACAGATTCCAAATTAAGACACCATCCACATACTTTGTCTCTTTTATTTTTGAAATCTTGATGCTCACAAATTTGAATCAAGCTGAATAATCTGTTGTAATCATAGCTACAATTCAGTGCTTATTACATACCACATACTTTATAATATACATTATCTTATTTAATTAAGAAATATTACTTTACAGAAAATTAAACTTGGCACGAAGAAGTTAAGTAGCTTGCCCAAGATCACCCAGCTAGTTGGTAGGGTTGTGAATCACATTTGACTCCATAAACCAGGTTACTGATTGCTATACAACAGAGTTGCTGGCATATTTAATGCTTGCATTTTCCCCAATCTGTTTTTTAATCCTAATGTTCTTCTTTGTAATTACCTTGAAGTTTTCAATGTTTACACAGTTTAAGGTCTTTTTATTGCATGCGGAGTCTTCCAGTGCTCTACATTTAGAAAGTTATAATCTATTGTATGCTCTACTATATTTTACCA